CACACACACACACACACACACACATAAAACACATGGGAACACGAACACCTTCACACTCATCAACTTTGTAGGATCAAAAATGCAAGGCATTTTAGTGGCTACTGCCCCATCTTCACACGTCATTCATAGCCTACAGGCAGATGCTTCCAAATGAGATTTATGGACTAAAAGTGAAGTTTTGCAAATAGTCACTCGAATACTCGACATAATATAAGTACTATCATGGAAAATCCCGATTTAAATGTGATTTGTCAATACAAAGCGAACTTGAATGCTATCGTGAGGCTTAGTCTTTGCATTATGGGAATAATTGTACCAAAGTATCCACGTTCTTATTCATTTACTCGACCTGACAATTGGCACGATCATTTGGACTGCTTTCGAGACTATGATTTGGTCTTCTGAATGCCGGATCTCAGCGGAGGCAGACGACAGAGCTTGACTGTACCATGCTGAGCTGGGCCTAGATGATACTCTTGAATGTTTGTGGTAAAACACACCTTTAATGCCTTGTTCTAATACACACAAGGGGCGAAATGTATGAATGTACTCACAAAGAAAAGGGCTTAGTCAATTGGCAGTACCGGAATCCTAGGTAGGGTTGCTTGTAGATAGTTGTAGCCTCAAACCCTTTGTGTGAATGAGACCATTCTTCATCAAGCCCTGATTGGTCCTACCAATCTACTTTTGTCAAGTTGTACCAGTTTCTATTATTTTCCTGTTGGACGGATGGCCAAATGATCCATTGTTAATGGATCATCTTAATGCATCTTAATGGACCGTTTTCGTTCAGGCCAATCTGAAGTTTCGACCGATTTTACACAGCTTAAACGGGATTCTAATATGGTGTTTTTGCAAAATGTGTGCAGTCTGCATGACCTACTCATATTTTAGTCAGTAGCATATTTGTTTCGCAAAAGGCATATGCACTGAAAGTTCAGGGTTCCTGCTATTTTTTTTCATCTGTGACCAAAGTGTGGATTGATGTAACTGCGACACATGCTCAACGAGTGAGCTCATTCGGTCTACAGGCTTAGCATAAAAGAGTTGACAAACAAATCTTGTAAAGCAACTCAACCTTTTTGTCACTGACTCTTCCACTTCATTGTTTAGGGGACTTTCGCTTCGTATGAA